GAATTTATAAGAAGCCTCACAAAGGAAACGCAGGATGTTCTTCATTATATCCACGAAGAATTATATTTCATTGAAGAAGCGTTAAATTCTTTTCTAGGGTTCTTCATAGCTAGTTAAAGAATCACATCTCTATCAACGATTGTTATCCCAAACAATTTATTTCACAGTAGTGAAAAAAATTTCTTTTTTTACTCGATCCTTCAACCCTGCATTGTACTTACACGATCAAGCCACGATCAATGAATATTCAAGAGGCTCGATCTCTCTTTCTCGAGCAGGCCTTAATTTACGTACACTGTCCGAGTTTTCATTATACCGTATACTGTTCGAGATAAAACACGAACGTACAGCTTCTTGGCGTCATAATTCTCTCCCTCCCTCCCCCTTTGTCGTGACTGCGTACATTACTTTTTCATCGATCTCTGATTTATACACGCCGCTGCATTTCCCCCCATTTCTTACATTTCGACGATCGATCTTTTTCATTTTCCTCCGATGTTAAACGACAGCACGACTCAATAAGATAAATCAACGAACGATATTGGAACGTTGGAGGTAATCTTCACGAATAATTCCAACATCTGAACGAGAGGAGCAAACTTACTTTCGGGTGATCATCATTTCACTTCTGCCGGTTTGTATGCAGCCGCGGAATTTTCGTGCGGCGGGCGATCGTTCAGCGGCAGCTTAAGGTCCAGCGTCGGCTTGGAGGTCGTGCATCACCAGAGTCTGGCAGGATAATAGCTCCCTCCTTCGAGAAGTCTTATTGCCGGACCATGCGCCAAGTGATTGATAGGCACCGAACTATAGAGCCGGGCAACGTGATATTTCGAGACTTTATACACGCGTTCGGAAAACCAACGCGTTCGGAGTCCAAGATGCACAGCGTAAAAATGCGCGCGGCCTCGCGAGATTTGCGTGAGAAATCAGCCACGTTAAATCAACCGACTCCGCGCTTGAACTTTCCTCGATTAGAAGCACAAAGTTCCTCTTTGATCGAATCGAAAATCGAAAAATTTGCATGTCGTTTCCTCTTGTTGATAAACGGTCTATCGATGTGACTCTCTAACGTAGACTAGTATTGCATTAAGAGACAGCAGGTAGTAATTTTCTGCCTAAAAGAAATTTGTCTTCGAGCAAGTAACGATTTGTTTTTAACAAGCGAAAGAAAGGGGGGAAACACGACACGTGAGATATCAATGTCAACTGCCACAAAAGAATGTAATTCAGAGCTGCAATCATTTTGGTAGGGAAGAGTACGAACTTGAAAATATATAATATTGAGTGGATTAGTCAGCTGGCACCTTATTTCGTTCCGTGCGCCAGGTGGAGCCACATAACAGACTGTGAATCCCACAGACATTTCGCGTGCCATTATGAAAATTGTAGCCAAATATGTAACTTGCGATTGCAGTGACAAATTGTTGTGCATATGCGAGAAACGCATATCAACGACACTTGACACACGATTCAAAAGACAATGAGAGAAAGTTGGAATCGCAGAAAGTTGGAAACTAACATCTATTTTATTTGACAAAGCAGCAGGAAAGCTGTTGAATTCTGTTTGCTTATTATCTTATTTACAACGATTCCGAATTTCGTTTTAATTTCTAAACTAAAGTTTGAACTAAAATTTGCGTCAGCTAGTTATCATTGCTAGTTTCGAGCTGGCACGCGTATCGACCTGGGTGTAGGTATAGGTTCTAAAAGCTAGAAGCTATAGCCGGAAACCATTCTTCGACCAACCGCCCTCTTGGTACCCTTTCCGGTGTGGAGACTGTAAATCTTTTCCAGCACGCCAACCGACACGAGATCCGCCCGAGTCCTCGAAACTGCCCTATTTCCATCGTTCCTATCGTCCCTCGCCCTTTCTACCATTCAAGTACTTTAGATCGCAACAACGATCAGTGAAAGGTTACCGCGAAGATACCGCGAAGGACTACGCCCTTCGAATGAAACCAAGGTGTTCTTGTCAGTCCAGGGTAAACTATACCGTGGTTAGACTGTTTCAGCCGGGTAGTTATGAATATATTATATTGTTTTCGCTTTCGCTTCGATGGATCAGTTAATGCTAGGTATCACGTATCAGTAAGGGTATTTCTAATTACACAGAAGACCGAGACACAGCGTGTCTTATACTCTAATCGCGAAAGTTCACTGAACATTTTCCCGCTTAATCCAACATGAATGATCGATTAATCGGTCGTCCTTTCACTAATTTATCGTTAAACGAAGGTTCAACAGTGAAAATTCATCTGTAACGGTTCTCTCTTGACTCTCATTACCATTCGACCTCCTTCCACCGTGATTGCATCAGTGGTATCCGATCTGCGGTCACGGAAATAATCATGGATCAACCCTTGATGGCGAATCGGTCGCATGCCTTGCGGTCGTGCAGTTCGCGAGAAAGCACACAATCGAGAAAACCGAAAACGTGCCGAATCGATTTGTGTCTGACGCCAGACGCCATATAATAGATCAGTCCGTATGTATAATACATACAGACACACCGAAAAGTCTCTTTCCACTGAGTACGCCTTTGCTGCTCTTTGTCTCTTGTTTCCTTAGGGGTTTACGTGGACGTTTGGGTCGCGATGCCTCGCGGTGGCTCTCGCGCGCCTCTTGGCCCGGAGGGGCCCCGAAAACCTAACCTCAAAACGCACACGGATAATTGGGGATAATGTCGGGGTTGCCGAGGCCCCGTAATTGCACGAGGCCAGGCCCTTTCCAGGCTTCCCTTCCTTCCCCATCCCTGAATTCCCCCCTCAGCACACAGTTCCTCGTTCTTCGCCACGCCGGGCCCTTTCGCTAGCTGTCTGTCCATCCGTCCGTCCCGCTACGTCCGTCTGTCGACCGCTTTCGCAGAACCCGATAGTACCTAATTCGTCGGTTTGTTTCGTGCTGCCGTGTTATTACGCGGTCCTGGCCCGTGTAGCTAGCTTATGCGATCCGCTCGCCATCCATGATCCATCGCGAAAAAAGATAGTCGACCGTGACCTCGAAAATGGAGCTCTGAGACACTTGCGTCGGACATCGACGCTGACCCAACTGCCTCGAGCATCCTTGTTCAATTTAACGCGATAGCTTTTACTACTTGGTCCGGGGGCACAATATATAGCTGCTTAACCGATTCGTAGAAATAATCCATCATATCGGAAGAAGATTGAAGAGTTTTCTGAATTTTCAGAATTATGTTTGGTTCTGAAGAATTTGAACTTGATTTCCGAACTTGATTCTTTAGAAATATTGTCAAGCGTCGACAAATATTAGCGTTCTAGTGAGTTGAATTAGTGTGTTCCATGATTAAATGTGCCTCGAAGTAAAAAACGTTGCCGCATGCAACTGTCGAATCGATAAACGTGATTATTATCCTGAAGCATAGAATCCACTGTTTTGTCACGGTTAGTACATGGTGTCGAGACTACACTTAACGATCTGGAATTATCTTGTTCCCATCAGATCAAGCTTGATACAATTATCCAATCCGCGAACAAGACGAGAGCAAACATTAAATCTTCTCTAGTCTCACAAGGGACTGCCATCAACACGTCTATAATCCGACTTATTAGTGAGAAAAAACTTTTAGTTTGTATCTCCCGTAAATTTGATTAATCGTTTCAATCCCAGTACCCGTGACGCAAGAGTAGAAAAAGCGTGAAATGTCAGACATTGGAATGAGAAGCGAAACCAATTGAACTTTGAGATTTAAAAATTCTTAGCTTCGAGTGGAGAAAATCGTATTGCATCGATAGTATCGGAAATTGTCTGTGACACCATTTAATAGCGAATGTTACAAATTAGCAGATAATCAATTAATTGGAACTTCCGGCAAGCTTGAACCATCAAAGCTGAAAGAGACAGAAGCGAACGCTGTGGCTCGTATAATTTTTTATGATCAGAGATTTCAGAGGACAGCTTACGTCCAAATTGAATGATTTGAATTTTTAAGGACTAAAATTGTTCGAAGTAATTTGCAAAACAAATTGAACTTTAATTTCGTAAAACTACCAGATGAGTATAACTTCGTTAATTCGTTGAAATTCAGCTCGGTAAATTGAAAGAATTCAAAAATTCTTTGTATTGTTTGATGCACTTAACGAACAAAATTTTGAGTTGATGGTCGTTCTCCTTATTATTTTAGTAATGATTGAATCATGTCGAACACTGAAACGAAATATTGATCAACGAGGTCAGAATCCTAGAAAGCCAAATGCGTCTTCCTTGAAGTGGGACACATCGGCACATTTAGGCTATCATTATCCACATCTGCCGCGGTTGCCCCACAAAATAGAACAGAGTCTGTAATTATCGTCGTCTTAAAGGATGTATGTTCTTTCATTCTTACATCTTGGTCTTTGTTTCTACAGCTCGGTGATCATCGTATCGTCGTTAGTGCCTTTCTTGCTGATCTAATTCAAAGGTACCCATTTGTACGAATGTTTCCTCAAAAATTACCGAACGTTCTTTCCGATTTCCTAGAACTGGAACATTAAGATATCCTAGTGCTCCTACTAGATGAACAACTTACTCTGTTCCTCCCTACTTGCTTTGGATTTATTCTAGCAACGAGAGAGAACTAACGTTCCACGGTAGCTGCTGGCCGTCGGATGAGTAAGTACACGAATTTCGTTCGATCGCGAATATTTCGACGCGTTAATGTTGAAGGCCGCCGGTTCGAAGAAGAAGCTACCGACGCACACTATGCCATTTTAGAAGAACAAGCGTCCTTGTGGATGATCAAGGCCACATTTCTGAGACACAATGAAATCAGAAGATAGAAGGATCGATTCGCCTGCGGGAATATCAAAACCTGTGGATGGGCTTTGGTACATCGATCGTGAACGGGAGTCCGTTCGATAACTAGGAGGATCTTATCTCAAGGGCTCCCAGTTTCGACGGTCCTCGTACCTCGAACTCTTAAAAGGTGTACCCTCGAGGGGCGATCGTGCTTTGAGGGCGCCGCATCGCGCCAACCACGCCTTCTCCACCGTTATTTACCTCCGTCCTTTTCGCCCTTGCAGTTTTATTGCCTCTTTCTCCCCCTTTTTCAACGTTGGTCCAGCAAGCCCGGGAGCGATAGATATCCTCGGCATCAATAAGGATTCGACGGCTTTACTGATTCTACGATCCGCACAGATTTTATACCAGCTGGAATATTATTCTGAGATTCTAGTCACAACATTCCTTTTGGTTGAAGAAAAAAAGATGCCAAGAAGAATTTTGAAGAAATTCTCGTTTATGAAGATTCGGATTTAATTGTAATTGCCGATCTTGAATATAAAATGTATTCGAAGAAGCAACAAATAGATAAATAATATAACAAGTATTTATACGCACGAAGTGAGCTGCATTGTGCAAGCGTGTAGTTTTCAAGGAAGATAAATCTTCCGTGACAGTGATGCCTGGCCAGCGGCACGTTGAAGGAGTAGAAGAATTTATCTGAAGGACAAAGCAAAACGAAGAAAAATGTTTTCTGCAGTAGTTAGCGGTTAGAATATAAATTGCGTATGTTAATACTTTATCGTCGTTCAATTAATATACTGAATTAATAGTACATTAATAAATGTTCCCAGCCAAATTTTATCTTATAAGAGAAATTACTATATCAAACTTAAACATTCCAATTCCTATTCAATTCCTCAACACTAACGTGATTCATGACTTAAATATCATTATATCGTTTGGTTGGATAGAAATAAAATCCAATATTTTAATGAAACCATCGTTTTCAACGAATCTGAAGCCCGAACTTTCTTTCACTTACGAAAATCACTATCCAGAATTCATCGGAAGAAAATATTGTGTACCAAAATAGCGGCCATTCACAATCACGCAATGCATTTTAATACATGGTGTATCGCTCATGTGAAAAATTAGTGCCAAGATAGTCAAGATACATAATTTCTCGGAAACACTAGAAACTGCACTTGGACGTACACATTGTCATTTTAAACTATCACTTTCCATACATGAAGAAAAAAAAAAAAAAAAAGAAATGAAAGATATTTGCAACGTGGAGTTGGATGAAACCTTAGTCAAGGTCACCAAAATGGTGGCGATTTAACCGAGTTTTGATAGATCCAAAGATATCTTATTGAGATCTTATCCTTGAAGTCGAAACAACGTGAATTTAAGAAGAAATAAGGTGACAGAAGAAAACAGAAACCGTTGATCCATAGTCCAGAGCAGAGCACACAAGACAGGCAGGTGTAACGCGTAGCGGCAGTAGACACCAACTGATCTCACATAACAACGGCCGATAAAATTGTTGCGTTTCCACCAAAAATTATCCTCTTTTTTTCCCTCGCGGTATAAAAAGTACAAAATTGTGGTAATTTAGCCCCCACCGCCATGGCGGCGATGCTGCGGCTCGCTTGGCCATAAGGAGGAGAGAGGCAATGAGTGAACAAGAGCGTAAGAGATAGGTAGAAGAAATAACAGAGAAAAAGGATGGGAAATGTTAGAGACAGAAATGGAAGAAGAGGAACGGGAAAAGAGGAAAGTAAAACGGAGAACTTTTGCCCATGAATACTAACAATTACTGTTCAATATAGCTGATGTTAATAATAAACAATAGCTGAGATAACTTCACATGCTCAGCTTGTTCTCCCCGCCTCCCCCCCTTCCAACAAGATATATTGCGAAACATATTTTAAAAATGTATGTCGCATTCGTGGTGTAGCTAGCGTGTGTAACATATTATATGAGAAATGCAACATGCAAATATTTAACGTAAGATACAGTTGCATCGAATGAAGCAATCGTTGTGAATACATGAGTTTGTAATCGTGAAATCGTTATCGTGTGCACATTGAATCGTTACAGTTTAAAAAAAAAGGCTTTATCAGAGACAGTATAATACACTTACCAGCATGAAATTTTCCGCGTTCATATCCATAGCTTGGCGTTGATTCGAAAACACAGAGTCACTTTGACACAGGTTGAAGGAATTCTTCTAAATGATGTTGGATTTCACTAGCACGGCAACTCGTGCTCTGTACTGCTGCTCGTGTGAACTCGCTCAATGCTTAAGCCACCGAGAAGGGGCATACTATGAAATTAGTATAATCACGATCAAAATTACTCGCACCCAGGCAGTGCTGGAACCACCAACCGCCGGTCAAATAACCCGCCCGACCATCGCCAATCAGCGATCGCGAGTTGGCGGCCATCTTGCGCGATACAGTGTGCGCATCGACAGCCACAAATTACCACAAAAGTGGATAATCTTTGCTCACGTGGTGCGCAAAGTAAGCAGTATAACAGCAAGTATGTATGTATGTATGTATCTCTTGCTGCATCGCTTTTATTCCAAAAACTGGGGACGATTTTGGAATATGGTGAATGAAACCACCTTTCGTGTATTGTTCCCTCGAGCAAAATATATATTTGCACATAAATTAAAAATAGGCATGCACAGGTTATTCAGATACGATATCGGTCCTTTCTTCCGGATAAGGCACGAATATCAGTTCGTTCCGTTTAAATGGTAATCCTTTCTATTAAATATCCTTCGACTCTTCTACACTTAGCGTTGCACAGCACAGCTGCGCATTATTCTGTCGCATTCGGAGAACTCTTTTCTTTCTGTGTTCAGTGCACGAGAAAAAGAAACTGCACGCAAGCCGAGACCGCGAAACGTAATCGCGCTTCGAACTCTCTCACGCAGGCTGGTACAAGGTTGTCGTCTTCCATTTATGGCGCAACCGTGCACCATGTAATTACAAGAACAAAATATTTAGACTGCCGCTCTAAAAGCGATTCTTCATGCACGCAGTAAAATAATGGCAGCGTTCACATGGATCTGTTCCAAATTTCTAATTAGACGCCGTTATTTATCTTCGTTAGCACTGGGAGTCCTTTTCACTGAAATTAGTTAATAACTCTAATACACTCTAATGCACCTGCAATTTTCTGCAAGCCGTTAGCCGATCCGGTGAATGACACTTAGATAGTTTAAATAGCGTTACATATTTTTCTCATTTGGCTCATCATAAACTAATTAGCAACATCTGATAAGTTGGAACATTTTTCTTTGGCGTCGCCCACGTTGATATATTCTATGCGTATCTGATATGCACATAGATGCAATTGGGTAGGTGTACATCCATCTTAATGCACACGCCTCACCCGAAGGGGGTTTTTGAAGCGCCGTGTTATGTTTTGTTACGTTACGTCACGTGGACTGGCCCCCTGATTGTAGTCGTTAATTATCGGTGGTTGCGGCTAACCGAAATTAGAGGATTCGAGGTCGCTATTCCTCTCCCGTGTTAAGAGTAAAAATAAAATTACCACTGATCTCTTACGCTTTACATAAAGAAAAGAAAAGAAAAAAAAAAAAAAACAACGAACACAAACGAGTTTCATGTTCGCGAACGTAAGAGAAGAAGCTAGAACCATAAAATGATTACCATAAAACCAATATTATCAACATTTTTGATAGACTTCGAAACAACATTATGCGATTATCATTTCCTGAGAATCACGCATAGAGCATGCATACTGTTAACTGAGATTTGCATTGCTAAAAGGAGATAAGAAGAAAACCGCAGATAGGGAGGAAGGGCGTAGCATAGCAGATTCCTGCCAGTCCTTCTGCCGTTTTTCGAGACGTATACTATCTGTTACACCCCGGGCACGAATACGAATTAGGACCAAGTCGCAACAGGATCGAGTCCCGCCGATTTCGAGTATGCCGATGCCTTGGGCAACGATAAGTTGCTGCAGTGGGTCTAGCCACTGCTCTGCCCTCTGTAATTATACCGTATACAACAGAACGTTGTCTTGCTCTTTCTTTCTTCCCTTACTTTCTCCTTCATTTTCCACCATTCCTTGTCTTCACTGAATGCTTCTTATTGTTGAACGCGTGTTTCGTCGACCGTGGTCCCGCCGGGGGCGAAGGTTGCGTTCGAGCAGCCGTCTTCGAGACTCTGGCTCTTCCGTTCCACCCTCTTCGTCGTCCGTTTCGTTTGCTTTGTTCCACTTGCTACATTGCTCTGTTACTGTTCAATAATGATTGCGCTATCTTGGCCTGCCACCTTTTCATAGGCAGCCACGATTCTCAGAATTTAAAAGCAAACGAAAAGTAGCGTATATCCGGCTACAGGCATCGAAATTATTTATTATTTACATTATCCATGGCCAATTAATACGAATTTTTAATTAATGATTCGCTCCGTTAAATGGATGCTTACATACATTGTCGATCGAATATTGTTGTTGCGCTCGATCTCGAGCAGACACATTATTTGCATCTTCGATGCCTGAAGCATAAGCTGCTTCTGTGGATATTTGTACGACGATAATTGGTTCAGGAGCAGCAATCCGTTCGCGCGATCACTTCAATATAGATACACATCTTGAACAGTGTTTCGCAGCGCGATCGTAATTTTGCATCGCGACTTAATATTCGTGAAAAAAGCAGGTCGCCTGGTCGGTTTGGTTGCCGTTGGACGACCCACGACAAGTTTCCTTATCCCTGTTTTCTACAGTATTTATTTTATAAATTATAATCACGTTCCTCTGCAAGCATTGCAGTTTCTTATATTTTATTAGCCAAAAGTGGTCATAATCGTGCACACTTCAATAACAGCGATGCTGCGAAGGAATAACTTAAGTACGTCAAGTTGATCCGTTTACCGGTTTGCCGAAATAAAATTGTTAACCATTGTGGGTCTTTGTAATGGTCTAAAGCCTACGGCAGCCTTGATAAATTATAGTAATCTTAGATAAACACTGTGACTCATATGACAGGACATCATCGATGAACATAACGTTAGTGTTGGTCTTGGATGCTGAACGTGAGACTATGTTACATACGATATTTGCGTAGATATAAATATGCGTGAATACCTTCTATATAAGTGTGTAGAAATGCATCAGCACTTGCAATGAGCCAGTGTACCGCGATTTTCCAGCTATGTGCGCTCGCTGGCTACGAGATTTATGATTTGTTACGTAACAACATCCCGCTGGTATATTTAGTTTCATATACATGGTATATATAATCATTTCTCAGACTAGTGAACGCACATTATCCGAGACATCCGATAGTAGATAATGCCATGTACAGAAGACAGTGATATACTGCCTGTTAACACGAATCCGAAGCTCCATTAAATAATTAAACAAACCGAAATATGTCGATTTTTATACACCTTTGCATTTGTACATGCTTACCAATAAAAATAATGAAAAATATTCTTTTGACACGATATTATTAATTAATGACGTGGTCCGTGTTTCGTTCTTTTACTACACATTTGTATTTCCTGCATGCGTTTCAATTAATTTGTAAAATAAATAGATTACAGACCACTGTTTAGTGAGAAAAAGGAAGAATTGTGACAATCAACTTCATATAATGTGCAACAGTACGTTCATCATGACGAACAATACACGAGAAGAGAAGGTTTCGGTCAGCGAAGACTTGCGTGCAAGGTACCCCGACCGATCAGAGATGTAGAGTGTTAGAAGCAGGCGTGATACCGCTTTTTGCAGGTTAACCGACGATACCACGGCATGCGATACACTAGGTCACGCATACAAAAAGAAATACACACATGTGCAATATTTTTACATTCCATATCCATTGTTCGATAGAATGACTTGAGAATTTCAAGGTAGATATCTCCTCTTCTGCTCGTCTGTTCCTCTCGAGTCCGTTTCTTCCAATAGAAACAACTGCAATTTGATAGAAAGTTCTTGATTGCGGTGAACCATTGGGGTGCGATGGTAATCCACTTTACCCGTCACACCTCGTACATGCCAGACATTGATTTTACATTATCGTTACCAGTAAACCAAACTGATTGGCTCCCCTTTTCTCCATGTTCACATAGATACAGGAGATATCTTGGTATGCAGATGGTCACGTATAGATGCTTGTCTACAATAGTGATGTGTTAGTGTTTGTATTTGTACGAAGGGAGTAAGCCTTGGCGCGGAAGGGTGCAGCACGCAAAGTCGAGGGCGGCAACCGCAATATTAGATTAATGGCGGATGTACTTCACTTTCGGTGCCCGATCGTTCCCCGACGTACATTTCGTCGGAAATTGAACTTCTCGAATTAAACATCTCTCATTTGTCAGTCAGAAAAATTGAAAACTGCCTTTAGTCATTCGATGTTGATATATATGTATCTCACATGTGATACATTTGTAACTTGTACTCCGTTATTTACGGAAGAATTAATTCAAGCAGATAGAAACTGTTGTTTTATCTAGCATCTGAGACAGTTCACCGCGACACAAGATGCAGATGCTTGGCTAAATTTTAAGAGATCCACACGACAACGCATCGTCGCACAGCATAAAGAAGCATAAATCAATGTGCAAAAAGTAGAAAGTTATAGCCACCGAGAACGTCGAGGCAACGTCTTTGCTTGAACAAGCGGCAGCACCGGGATGGCCTCGAGGGCTGAACGAGGTGGAAGAGCAGAATGGGAGATCCCGAGCCTTGATCGTGATAAGATGCAGCGGCGTCGTCGGTTGACAAAGGGTCGTAGGAACGCCCCCTCAGATCCGACGTGCAACCGCTCGCGGGGGCGTACATATTAAAATTGGACCCCCACCTCTGACCCTCTATCAACCATTCGCCGATCTTGTTTATTACTGGCATGTACAATCACGTTACCAGAAAATATGATCCCTTTTACCGAAAAACTCTAACCTCTGTTGTATTCACCAGCTCGTATCTTTGTACCGTAACTTCGTTGAACACTGCGATTTCAGAACTCTGAGGGCATTCTATTGTTAAAATATATACACCAACTTCAATGCGTATTATATCGTACTTATTTATTACAATTATGTATTTATTTCGTTGTCGTCGACGCTTTTATGCTAATTATCTTGCGTACTTATGCATTTACATTCTTCTTTTATAATACTAAATTTTTTTTATAAAATTTTAGTATTACTTTATAAAATTATAAATTTTTTATAAAAAATAACATGTATTCTGTATAAACAGTAGTCTGTAATATCGTATATTAAACTATTTACTAAAGCGTTACTAACCTATAGCGTTAGTAAATGTATAACCTTATATCTTTCATATACAATAGTATAAATTAAAATATCATGTATTTTCATTGCATCATTAAATATTATACGTTAACCTATTATTAAATATTCTAACATGACAGCATCTTTTTTAAACAATAATAACTCTCTAAATAACAATTCGATAGGGAAATATGAATGCAGATACATAGGTAACAAATCGAGGCTCAAAATTGCCATAAAAAATTTTCGTTACACATACATATATTCTTACGCTTCATTCTTATTTTTCAATATCGTTTGATTGAATAAATATATATAGATTGAATAAAATAATAATGAATAAAGAAAATTAGATTGTTACCTGTTAATCGTTCCACATTCTACCATTTGTTGCACATCGTGCATACATATATATATGAACGCCAACGGTCAACTGTAACGGTCAACTGTAATTATTAATTTTACCTACATTGTTGCATTGAGACGATGTTATTGCGAAAAAATATTGTTCTTTACTTAAGAAAATATAAGTGGGTGTTCTCATCTTCTATCGGTGCTTCTAAATCGAGTTGGTCCTTTCTTTCTTGGCGAACAAAACTTTTCCTGCGGAAAGGTTAACACCGCGTCTGGCATCCATCTTGTAGTGTGTGATCGTATCGACGTATAAATTGAAAGGCAAAGTTTGCCTAGTGCTGCCCTCTGGACTACACTAGCTGAAACACGGAAAGAAATCTTGTAGTATTTAGTACTTGCTTTTGCCACATACTTTTATAACACGAATGTCAAACACAAGTTTCGAGCGTTAGTTTGAATTTATTTATTTTATTGCGTTCCGTTTTTGAATATACTTGTCGAAAGTGAAACAAACAAGTAATGTTTCCGCAGAGTTCACAGAGAAGATATTGGATATTTAGCGATGAAAACGATTTAACAGCGTTAAGAGAGAAAACAAATGCAGAATTTATTCAAAAACATGGCGCAAATATGACGGTAAGTTATGCTATTTGTAGCAGTAAATGAACGATACGATTTTGTATTTTGATTTTCAAATCTTTGTCTTGCGATTGAAGATAAAAATATTATTATTGTAAATTGATGAAATTTATAGGTTAGGTGTAAATATTTAACTCTATCGGTAATCGTACCTCGATATGTCAATATATACTGTTTTATAGAAATTTTTAATTTGTTTTTCAATTCATTTGTTATTATATTATTTTGTAATTTCGGCGGGTGTTACAAATTGTGTATTATTTTCTTAAATTATAATATGAAAATAATATAAATTTTAAAAAGCCAGAGCAAAGGGAAGAACATTTTCTATCCCACACAGAGGAACGTACGTTACTTCGTTTCTATGAAACACAATTAAGAGACTTTTGTCGTCGTTTTACACCTTCAATGCCACGTCCTACTGTAGCAACTGCATTACATTATTTCAAAAGATTCTATCTCAGGAACAGTGTTATGGATTATCATCCCAAAGAGATATTAGTCACGTGTGTCTACTTGGCTTGTAAAGTAATACTTCCTCAGAATAATATATCTATGAATTGCCACAATACAGTTTGTCACAGTAGTTTATTTTTATAGGTAGAAGAGTTCAATGTATCTATATATCAGTTTGTTGCTAATATTAAAGGAGATAGAGAAAAGGCATCAGATATTATACTTAATAATGAATTGCTTCTTATGCAACAATTGAATTATAATTTAACAGTGCATAATCCATTCAGACCTGTAGAGGGTTTCATGATAGATATCAAGGTATATATTTAATACCTTCGTATCAGTACAAGTTTGAAATCTAGACAAATTCAATTGATGTACTTTTAGACAAGATATACTTCTTTGGAAAATCCAGAAAGATTGAGGCCATATATCGATGAGTTTTTTGAAAAAATATTTTTGACTGATAGTGTTTTGCTATATACCCCGAGTCAAGTTGCATTAGCTGCTACATTACATGCTGCATCTAGGGCATCCGCTAATTTGGATAATTATGTAACTGACATTTTGTTTTCCAAAGAACATTTAGGAAGTATAATAGAAGCAGTAAGAAGTAAATATATCCCCTCTCATTTATGTTATTTTGTAGCGTATTTTGTGCGATACATTTTAACATAATATATATTATAGAAATAAGATCTATGGCAAAATGTGTTGAATCACCTTCGAGGGAAGTGATAAGATCTTTGGAGAAAAAATTAGAAAAATGTAGAAATCAGGAAAATAATCCTGACAGTGAAATGTAAGTATGGTCGTAAGTATAGTTTTAAATTATAATGGGAATACAATGTAAATTCTATTTAAGTAAGCATTAAATTCTATTATAGTTAATATTAACAAGATATTGTATTATTATATTTTATTCTATATTGTATTATTATAGTTATAAACAAAGAATGCAAGAAATGTTGGATGAAGAAGATTTGCAGGATAATGAAAAATATGCTAAAATTATACAAGATCAAGCAGCTCATGATGAGAAAATCTTGGGTGTCAGCAAAGTTCTGTCTCCTTCAGCTTTATAATAAAATAATACTTATATAGGTATCATTTTTTATACCATTATCCACTATCAGTATAATCAATAAATAATTTATTAATTTATACGTTTTATAGTACCATTCAGAGAAGAATTACAATATTTGTTAATACTAAAATATCTATCATTTAAAACTATATTCGTTAGTTTTTTTGTTATAAAACTTATTTTCTGTATATATTGTATCTTTATAAATAAATGCGAATGATAAACTTTTTATTATATCTTACTTCTTTTCTGTACATCTAATTATATAATTGTAGATATTTAGTTTTTGTTAAATATCATGTTTTTGAGATGATATGTTCTTAATACAAATTTTAATTTCATTTTGGTATTATTATTTTACACAAAGAAATTAAGAAATGTCTTCCTCATTCTTTAGAACGGTCAAAAACACATATCACACGTCTCGATTTATAATAATTTGAACCTGCATGATAATCAATGTTGCACATAACTTTTATTAACTGATTTTATGTAATGTAAACACTAGATTCTTTTTATGTTTAAGAATCTTGATGCCTAAAGTCTAATCTTTGGTTTAAATGATATGTCGGATTACTGGTGGAGATATTTTGAAAAATCGAGGTCTGCTGGCCCATTGTTAAATTACTTGGCAATGGCTGCACAATAGGCAAAGCAGATGGTAAAGGAACAGTTGCTAAGTGCTGTGGAAAAATCGGTGCTCCTGGTTGCAATTGCGTTGGATAATTAAAAAACCTGCACAAAAATTTCCTTTTTAAACAGAGCCACATTTATACTGGATATTGATATTTACCACAGACGATCCTCGACGAAAATTGGTCGGGGTGCAGGAATACCCAAACTAGAGTAGTACTGTTGCGCCAAGAGCTCTACATCATTTGTATACTTTCGTTTCCATTTCGTACGTCTATTTTGGAACCAAATTTTAATCTGCAAATAATACAAGAAATAATACAAAAATTAATAAATGCAGATATCAGTGACTATTCGTGTTATAATTAGTCGAAGTAGCCTAGATGATGAGAAAAAAACACTGATACAAGAAATCTTATCAATTAAGAAAAGTCAAAAAAATATGTATATCTCAAGACCAAGCGTTTTCAAAGACTTTTTAAAAAGATTTTTCACATTTAGAACTAAAAATATTGCCCCGGGTGAGGATCGAACTCACGACCTTAAGATTATGAGACTTACGCGCTGCCTTCTGCGCTACCGAGGCATCTCTGAAAATTCACAACAGTATATTTGAACGTGGGACTTTGGCAAGTTTGTGCTTTTTGCAGTATATTTATATATAAATAATAAAACTTTGTTCACTAATTGCAAGAATTCAATAATTTCCAAGGACTCTCGCGAGCTAAAAGAAACGTAACAAACTCAAGTTTTCATGCTGGAGTTCAGTATTCTGGTCAGGACGAAAAGATGAAACATGTGAGGCAGCGCGGGAAAAAACAAAATGTCACCATCTTGGTCATGATTTCTACAGAATTTTCTGAAGGGGAACGCCTAAACCGGATTCAGAACAGTAATATATCCTAATTAAAAAATCGACGCCTCTTCGGTCCGTCGCCTCGAAGCATCCGTTGTCCCGAGATTCTTCGTTCTTGTGGCATGCTGGAAACGCACACACGAATCGGAGGAACATTAAAGCAAGAAGAAGGGGACTCCCCGAACTGGCTCGTTAACTACGAGAAATATTGTGACAGTTATGTCTGCGCCATAACACGTCTCCTTCTTCCCTGTGATCCGTCGTCTGATCATCCTCCCCTTTTGCTGTGATCGCGAAGATAATTATCTAACTCGTTCGGGGTGCTGCGCGATATTTCTACCGCTCTGGGAATTATCGTAACTCGCAACATTACTAACTTGGACGAATGCTACTCGACCGAATAGAAAATATTCGGGGTATTATCATAAATTAATTAGTTTAGAGCGATGCCACGTTCCATCCTATAAAGTAAATGGAAGAATTATGCAAGTGCTGCAATCCATTCCTACAACTTTGCGCAGTTAACGTGAGGATTATCTAGATCTTCGTTGAAAGCCGAGCACTTTGGATCGCGAGGATAATATTAGAAGTTGGAAACTGAATTACATGGAAAACTGAGCAAAACAGGGAGTTGTTTGAACGTGACGCGCCTATGACACGCAAAAGGGATAGGATTTCTAGGTAGAACACAATTTTTACGTAGCACGATGATTAATTGAAGATTTCCGCGAAAGGAAGCAGCTCTCGTTTCGCGCTCTCGTCTGCTCCTTGCGAGAAGAAAGGGCGTATAAGTGCTAATTGGTCCTAAAGGGCAATCCTCCCCTATGGCGCCACGATCTGGCGCCTACACATATGGTAGCCTTCAAAGCTATAATTCAGTTCAGTTCAGTTGATTTCGAGAGGCTCGGGGTACATGGAACTTGAACTATTTCAGGTGCCCTAGCCTACGGAAGTCGCGATCGCAATTTATTGTATGCCGTACGTCTCGTTCGGAGCAACTTCCGTAAAATGTGTTTCCTTTTAATCACAGGGGCTTCCTTGCTCGGCCTCGGTTCTTCTCGTTATTACGGATCGTAATAAGACAATTTTTTTTTTTGCCTCCGTGAAGCCATTAGATAGATCAGCTTTTCGTTCCGCCACTGTTACTGGAATGAGTAATGATACAAATTACATAACACGTACCTGAGTTTCAGTCAGCTTCAGACTTTTGCTGAGCTGTAACCTCTTCGCCACGCTTAGGTATTTGTTCCTCTCGAATTCTGCTTCTAATGATTTAATTTGTGCGGCGGTGAACGCCGTACGAGGTCTTTTCTTTCTCTCGTCATCGCTAATGGCGCTGTCATTTTTTTCGTGAGCTTCTTTATCTGCGCTTGTGGAATTGGCACCGCTGCTACTAGTACACGCCTCTGGTAACACCGTGAAAAAGATTATACTCTTCCTACGCCGCGATGTACATCGGGCAAGAAATGATAATTAAACATTCCCTTATCGTGTAATCATCGAGTAATTACGCGCGATGCTGGCCGTGCCGCTTACTTCAATGCGATTAAGTGGAATGAAAACGCGTCGTAATTAAATGAGCTCTAATAACACGCGTCTCGTGTGAGATTAAACAGCAGACTACCGCAAATTATAATCTATAACATAATATTGGACGTTTGATCGCGGGTAAACGGGACTAGATTTAAACAACTGACGTGATGACAAAAGTCTATCATTAATTGTAAAACGGTGGTTTATGTGCCGTGACGCAGCCTGTTCTAGTTTTAATTGCTTTTTAAATGAGATCGAGAGACAATAAATGCCATACACAGTGCGATACTAAACGCCGCCTCTTTCTAACTTCACCAGGCCCAATTACCCCCGCAAGATTCCTTTTCTCATCAATCTCGCTACTTTTTCCCCCGTCGAACTTGTTTATATTTATATTTATCCCGGGCTTACAAGCCGCTGGTACAAGACGTCGCGCCTCGCTCTTGAGGAATGTCTTTGGGGTCTCTTTTAGTCGACTGGTAACAGGACCGCGCTCTAAGCAGCGGAGATCATCTTCTAATTATCTGCCCATTCGTCATCCGACGAAAAACCGTGGCAGCACGACGGCCCGCCGTCGAATATACGCATGTCCGTTAAAAAGAAAAAAAAAAAAAAAAAAAAAAAAAAA